GGCGGACAACTCACTCCGCAGCCTGCAAATTCATCCGCCCAGATGCCGTAGTCGAAACAGACACGGATCTGGAGAGAGTGGTCTCTCTAAGCAGGACGGGGGGAGAGAGCCTTCTCCGCTCGCCGGAACCAGGCACCAGCTCCCTGCGTAGGGAAGGAACGAAACGTTCCAAAGAGGGGATGAAGGCCAAAGCACAGTACAAAGCGGCCCTCAACATCAATAGCCGGCTGCAAGGTAAAGCAGACATCTCCCAGGAGGCGAAAGTCAAGCTAGCCTGGGCCGAGCAGCGAGTAGAGGAGGGCCGGCTGCACTACGCTCAGATGCCACAAATGAGGGCGTCGAATGGCGAGTTTGCCAATAAGGTGGAGGAGATGATGGCCACCAAGAGGCAACGCTCGACTGAGAGTGCCATTAAGGACACTCCTGGGAGCAAGCGGCAACGCGGGCACAAGAGTGCATCCCCTCCACCGAAAGCGGCCAAGAAGCCAACAAAGCCGAAAGCGAAGGTCAGCGATGTGACCAAACGACATCTGATCGTGGCACTCATCGACTGTAGCGAGGAGAACGGCAAGATGACCGCGGCACTGTGGAAGCTGGTGCATGCACGTCTTGTCAACGCATTGTTTGCACATATGGAGGAAGACCCCGCGGCCCCAATGTCCACTTTCGATGGTGCTGGGTGGCTAAATGGGGTTAAAATCCTAAAGTGCAACGACGATCCAACCCTAAGGTGGCTGACGCGCACGGTCTGCCAACTGGAGGTGATGTGGGAGGGGGCCAATGTGGAGGTTGTGGACCGGGAGCTTATCCCGTCCAAGCCTAAGGCGAAGGTGCTCTTCTCCCTCACATTCCAGGGGGACTGAGCGCTGAAGCTCCATCAACGGCAAAACGCGGACGTGCCAACGACCGGTTGGAGGATCTTACACATTGATAGCCCACTACCCAACGAGGGTGGCCAATGTGTGATCCTCCAAATAAACTCAACTTGCATAAAAGCAAGGTAGCGTCGGCGGAGCTCCTCATCGCCATAGAGCAAGGGCTCGCCGACATAGCTCTAGTCCAGGAGCCCTGGATTGCGAAAGGCAACTCAGTGGCCGGACTAAAGTCCTCAAATCACAACTTGTTCTACTCAACATCGGTAAGCAGGAACAGAACCGTCGTACTCGTACGAAAGGGGATCCATCCTTACCTTATGGCTCATTACAGCACGGATGACCTGATGGTGGTGATGCTGGAAAGTGAGGAAAAGCGCCTTCTGGTAGCTTCCTGCTATATGGGTCATGACAGACCCACACCACCCGACGAACTCAGGAGTCTGGTGACAGAAGCCGGCACCAAAAACCATCAACTCGTCATCGGGACGGACGCCAATGCACACCACAATGTGTGTGGAAGCACCGACATCAATGACAGATGTGAGTCTTAGACTTTAACTAGCAACTAATCTATATAGCAAACGTTGGGGAGGAGCACACCCCCGTAGGTCCGACCCCATCCAACGTGCTAGACCTAACACTTGCAACGGTACTATGGTATCTGGCTGGAGAGTCCTTGAAAGACCCTCCTTCTCAGATCATAAGTACATTCAGCTTAAGTGCGATTTCAAATACTCTTCGAAGGTAATAGTCTATAGAAACCCCCGGAATATAAACTGGGAAAAGTTTAAAAGACAGTTGCTTCGAAGCTCTCGAGTCCGGGCTCAGTGAAATCCGCGGAGGACATAGAGAAGTCTCTAAAGACCCTATCCAACGCGTTACTGGACGTCTACGACACATCGTGCAAGCCCTCGAGGACGAAGAAGAGGTCCAAGCCACTCTGGTGGAACCGGGATCTCTCTCTTCAAAGGAACAACCTCAAGGAATTCTTTAAGATCGTCAAACAAGCTAACGAAGGAATCGTCAATGAGGAATACAGACTCCTACTTAGGAGCTACAAGAAGGAAATACGCAAAGCACAACGGAACTCGTGGAGGACCTTCTGCTCCAACATCGAGAAAGTACTGCTCTCTAAGCAGCCTAACACACAAAGCCAATTAAAGCTAGACGACGGACAGTGGACAGAGGGCAGTGATGAAGCCCTAACAGCACTAATGGAGGAGCATTTCCCTGGCTGCACCGAGGTCGCTGATGCCAGAAAGCATCAGGACCTAGCAACCGAGGAACAACACCCCACAACAGATCGTTTAACCACAAAGCGAATCCACTGGACAATAGACTCCTTTGCGGGCACAAAAGCACCAGGACTGGACGGGGTATTCCCAGCCATGATGCAGGTGACCAAAGAGGCGATTACCCTATGGCTTTCCGCAATATTCACAGCTTGTCTAAGTACAGGCTACATCCCTGCCCAATGGAGAACATCGAGAGTTGTCTTCCTCCCAAAGGCAGGAAAATACAGCCATGCGAGTCCCAAGGACTATAGACCGATAAGCCTTTTCTCCTATATAGTAAAAACACTAGAAAAGCTGCTGGACTTACACATCAGGAATGAGGTAGGAGGACTGATGTCAACCAACCAGCATGCCTATACCAAAGGGAAATCGGTGGAGACTGCATTACACTCGGTAGTAGCTACCATTGAGAAAGCCCTTCATAATAAAAAGTATGCACTGGGAGTATTCGTAGTCATCTCCGGAGCATTCAACAACTTGGCTACGAAAGCAATAACAAATCGCCTGGTAGCGACTAATACACACCCAGCAATCAACCTGGGGAACCTCTAATGCACTGGATCTACATCTCGGTGGTGCGACCGACTCTGCTGTATGGAGCCTTAGTATGGTGGCAGGCTACTGAAAAGAAGACATACCATAAGCTTATGGAAAAGACTCAGCGACAGGCTCTGCTCTCTATTACAGGGGCGCTGAGGTCAACCCCAACAAAAGCACTCGAAACTGTACTCGGAATCGACCACCTGGACATTCACGCCCGCCTGATTGCGGGAAAGACAGCACAACGCCTTAGGAAATCTATCGATACAAGGATGCGGGCACAAATCAATTGGCAGGGACATGGCCAGATCAACTGATTACATGACCCCCCAAACTTGCCTTGACGTCAAAACAACCACATCTTTGGGACCTGAAGACTGGAAAATTGGAAGGGACCAAACTGCACAGACGACTGCAAGATAGACGGAGGAGTAGGAGCGGGCCTATACTGTACAGACCCTGAGATAAGGCTGTCGTATAAGCTACCGGACCAATGCAGCATATTCCAGGCAGAAGTTTTTGCCATCGGGAAAGCAGCGGAGGTCGCTCTCCTCACAGAACGAGCACACGATGCGGTCAACCTGCAGTCGTCCGCGGTCAGTTCCAGAAGTGTCTTGGCGAGCAGGGAGGCATTAGACATCCTAAGCACGAAAAGGCAGTGCGGATCTATTGCGGCGGACGTACTAGCTAAGGAAGGCGTCGGGCTGGAGAATAGGAGAACCGAGAACGTGCCTGTCTCCCTTAGAACGCTCCAATGCGGTCTAGAGAAGCAGGCTAGAACACAGACTGATAGCAGGTGGAGTAGTACCACCACCTGCAGAACCTCGAAGATAATGTGCAAGGAACGCAACGAGAAAATTAGCCATTACCTACTGCACCTACCACGAAAGGACTGTAGATTGCTAGTGGGAATACTTACAGGTCACTGTCTGGCTGCTGAACATGCAGCAAAGCTAGGCATCACCAACAGAGACAGTTGTAGGAAATGTGATGAACCTGGGGCTATCGAAACCCTGGAACATCTCATCTGCTACTGTCCGGCTCTCTCAAGGGCAAGGAGGAGATATCTGGGCGCCCCAGTGCTGGCATCACTGGAAGATGCCTCCAAAAGGACGCCACAGGAACTGCTGGCCTATGCTAAAAACACCTCGATTCTCGGGGACCTTAAAACCACATAAACACTCCCGCGACGGTTCATACACCCCCCTATCCGGATAACTAAGGGCCAGATTGGCCTATGCGTGTCCCCGCTGAGGGCCGTCCGGGTTAACCTAACCTAACCTAACCTTCTTGGAACAAGCGAACAATCGACACAAGCCACCGATTGTTAATTCAATCACGCTCAGAAAAGTGAAGTAAAGCTCAGTAAAGTAAAAGCGTCGTTAGTGGCATTTTTGAGGCCGTTTAATTTCGCAACTTTCAAGAATAATCCTAAGATTTTAAAAATGTAAATTTCGATGGATTTCGGGTTTGATCGAACATAAGAAACTCTCTCCCTTACCTCACCCAGCAATCTATTCATACTTTCGAATGATGATCGCTAGAGCTGCGCGCAAAAGTGGATTTGTTCGAAAGTGACAAGGATGTAAAATGTTTAATATTATTCAAGGACATCAGAGGGTATCCCACCACGAAAATGAGAGGAAATTCAAAAAACCTGCGTATTGAAGTTTCTATACACAATATTCTTTAATATATGTATTTACCTTTAAAAAGGAAATTTAAAGGATTTTGTGCGCGTCACTGAAGTAGAAAGAGAACAAGTAGAACTGAACAAAAATTTCTGTGATCAGTAAGGGTACTCACGTATTTTAGATAATCGCGAGTGCTCCAGTTTGCGAAGTACATATTAAGCATATTACGGGCCGCTCCTAAACGGCTAGTTGGTACGATTTTGATGTTTTACCGACTACAAACAAAATATATGTTTAAAGTAAAAAGTGAAGTAAAAAAGATTCGCTTTCAGCACAGTACAGAAGCAAATCTGAATAGATTTTAGTTAGCACGGAAATTGGCTAACAACCTAATATTTACTTATATGGAATACTAGTCACTTTATTTTGTGTACTATAAGCATCACAAATTCTGATGTAATATTGTGGAATCTATTTGAAGTATAAAAAAAAATCGGGTACATCGCGGTCGATAAAGCACTTGGAATTTCCAGTTCCATTATTATTCTTCGAATTATCCCAGATAAACAAATTTAAATTAGATTTTGCTTGTATTGATTTTATTTATCAATAAGTTTCAAATATTATTTTTTTTTAACTCTATATCAAGTGATAATTGTAATTTACACCGATTTATTCTTTATTTCTTCGACATTATATCAAAGTTCTAGTGCACATTTTGCATATGCTTGCTTAAACAAATACTGCACCCTTGCAGGGTGTTTCAATTTGGTAACCCACAGAAGGAAGCATTCCCTAAACAACAACCCTGATGGATTTAGCCATGTAGGTCTGGCAAAACAAGAAAATAATCCAATGGTAACAGATTTTCAGATCTAAGTAGATAAACCATTATTTATGGGTCGTTGAACCGCAAAGGGTGTATAAACTTCGGCGCGCGGATGTCATATTTCCTGAATTTTTAATAAAAGAATAGAATACACATTTAAGTAAGCTACACAAGTTATGGTTTAATCAAAAATTTACTTCTTAAATAATAATTGGTTGTTACCAAACCTAATTGGTAAATATACTCAAAGAAAATTGGATTTCTCCACAGAATTCTGGGAGCTGCTTTGATTTGACCAACCAGCGTTACCAGGTGCACAGCCATTCTGTAATACAGAGAATATAAATAAATTATTTGTATTTGTGGTTATCATTTGAATGGGAAACTAACCTGTTGGTCGTTACAAGTAGAGTTGTCGGCTTTAATCATTCCACCAGGTCCTGGATTATTTGGGTTATTTGATCCTTTTCGACCGCCATAGTTGTTGGCGTTGTGGCCGCCGTTTTGAGACATCCACGATAAAAAATTGCCACCCTGAAAAGTAACTGAGAGAGTTTTTTGTTTGAAACAATGATAGAGTGTAGAAGGCTTGCCTGCTGGTCCTGGTTTTGATTTTGCAGCTGATTGCCTACAAGGCTCCACTGATTCAACGCAGCAGCAACCAAAGCAGGGTTGATCGGCAATGAGTTTAAATTAAGTCCGACCCCCAAAGGGTTGTTCATGTTCTGTCCTTGGTTGGACGAGCTCGATCCTTGCGAATTAATGCCTAATGCTTGTAAGTTAGGCATGTCCAAGGGTCCCCTGTTCATCCAGCCGCCACTGCCTACGTTTCCATTGTGGGGCTGGTTCATTCCATGAAAGTTTCTATTGAAGGGAGCGCCACCATCCTGACGGTGCCCACCACTAGCGTGATTACTACTGTTATTATGGTAGCCCCCACCCGCATTGCCACCCATTCCGTAATGTCCGCCCATTCCGTAACCACCACTGGCATTGTTGCTGTGACTGTGACTGTGACTATTGGCGATAATCGGGTTCTCACCACCGTGTGCATTGTGTTGATTATTACCTCTGTGTTGCCCACTTCGGCCAGGATGTGATGACATGTGGTTTCCTTGAGGATGATACGAATGCATGCCATAGCTGTTGCCAGAGCTGTAGTTGTAGTTCTGTCCTTGATGGCTTCTGCTCTGCTCGGCTTTAGGGGCGGCATTCGAAACATGAACTGATACACCTATAGAAGTCACAAAGCATTTCTGTTATCGCAATAGTTGTCTTTGCCTCGCGCAAACGTTGCTCTTACCTTTAATTATATGATCCTCTCCACACAGTGATTGGGCTACATCCGGATCGAAAAATGTGACAAAGCTAAATGCCCGAAATGGTCGGGGTATAAACACATCGGTAACCTCTCCAAACTTTGAAAAATATTCACGCAAGTCATCTGAGTTGATGTCCTCTGTACAGCGACCAACGAAGACTTTGCATGGCACCTGGTGACCTACCCCCTAGAAGATGATTTTTTTTTAGTTTAAAGCTCGACCCAGCTAATATATAGCATGTACATATGTCTGGATCTGTATATACCTTTGAATTTGGAACTTTCACCTCACACCAGCGCCCATCGATGAGGTGACGATTAGAGAGTACGCGCATCTGGGCGTCGTACGAACCGAAACGTACGAATCCAAAGCCTTTTGACTGTCCCGACTTGACGTCCTTCTTTATCTGCGCCATTAGAACTTCTCCATAGCTCTCAAAGTATTCTCGCAAGCTATCCTCAGTTGTTTTCCACGGGAGTCCCAGAACAATGAGGTCAGTGCACCGTAGTCGCGTTTCAATGCGTTTCGTTTTGGCTGTTGAATTTTCTAAATTGTCGTCGCTTTTGCGTTTATTTTCTGTGAGAGGGAATTGGCTGCGATAAAAGCTAGTTTTAAGGAATACAATGTTGTATTTGGTTTACCTTTGGGGAACACACAAAAATAAATGTATTCTCCCCACCCGGAATCGACACTTGGCGGAAATAGTCGGCCCTCGTTTGACCGTACGCCTCGCACGGCTTTGGTGTCCATGTTGCGATACTTGAGGCCGCAGGAGCCTGGAAACTGTGCCTGCAGGGTCGACAGAAGTAATGTGCCATCTTCCTCAGCCGGCAGCTCGATGGGCTCGTCACCCTCCTCCTCCGACACTTGAACAAAATCCATAATAACTATGGCTTCGAGTAACTCTAAAATGACAAGAAAGTTAATCCAACATTCTGCGTAAGCGGTTCACTTGTCGCTCTATTCTTGATCCATCATTCAATCAACTGAAGCATCCCACTTGGTAATAGACTCGTACATATTCAGATCAGATTCTATCTATGCTACATACATTACACGAAATGCACTCATTCGATTCGTCTCATACTTTCTTTCAAAATAAACCAAACAAACAAACAAACAAACCATTTAATGCTCAGAGATTCAAATCAAAGAAAAGGAATTATAAATGTCTTAGAAAAAGTGTACTTTTTGTAAGATCTCTCTATGACAATAAAAGCTACAATGTTTTCTATACGACAAAAAAAAAATGAAAATATCGATTCATGAAAATTGAATTGGATAAAAACAAATTTGCATAACTGATTTAATAATAAAAGGGCATTTAAATACGATGATTAGTTGAAGAGTCCTAGGAGGTTTAATGTACATATATGAAAAAAGCAAACATCTCTCTAAACTCAACATTTCAATGGGAAAATTGTGGGAAGGGGATTGTGGCCTAGAGGAAGCATTATGTACATATGACATGTGGGTACATACATATGTACATATAGCGCATCCTAAATGGTGGTTTGGTTACACAACAATTCTTACACTATTGATAGGGGTTAGATGTAACGTAACACCACAGACGTAGTGCCTGTAATATCTGATTTCTGGTAGCACTTGCACACGTAATGTTTTATATGGTATGAATTTGCATTTATTCATTCATTAGGCATTCTTTTCACGCTAGTTTTTCGACACAACACACGCCATTTAAATATGCACATCCACTTTCAATTAGTGCGTAATAAATACAAAGAATATTTACAATTTCATTGTTAATGACTTTGATTTAGTAAATAACACCATATTTCCTTTGCTTTGCTGAAAAAATTTTCTTGTATCTATATCACTATGGATAAGACACTCAAGAATATACCGTCTCGTTTTAAAAATATACCGTAAATATACTGACGAAGTCAAGTTATATTTTACATATTCCTCGTTTTTGATATTCCGTGCAATATAACTGACTAAATAGAACATTTAGCCATGCCCACATAATTTTATACGATTAATGAATCAATTTTCTACAAGATTGGATAGTTTTTAATCCTTGCTTTTATTGTATTTATTGTAAAAAAGGGTTAAACAAAATGGTTCAACAAGAAAAACAGTCGCTAAAGCCCTAGTATAGACCTTTGTATACCCTATTTTGTTAATTTTATATAAAGGTATAAATATTGATATGAAGATAAAACGTAACTAATAATGACCTTTTCTCAAATTGACATTATTTAGACCTATTCTTGGTCCCTACAAGAATACAATAAGCTTTAAAATATCGTTGAAATATTGAAAATAATATTAAATAATATTGAATATTATTAAAATATACTGAATATAAATTGTTTTTGCCTGGGATGACAAACATATTCAAAATCCTATAACATCCATTTACCCCAGGGTATTACAGATTCTACCCGATTTAAAAAAAATACCAAAATATACGGTCTCATTAAAAAATATACCGTAAATATACTGACGAATTCAAGTTATATTTTACATATTCCTCGTTTTTCATATTCCGTGCAATATAACTGACTAAATAGAACATTTAGCCATGCCCACATAATTTTATACGATTAATGAATCAATTTTCTACAAGATTGGATAGTTTTTAGTCCTGGCTTTTATTGTATTTTGGCTAAAACAAGGCATAAACCAAATAGTTCAACAAACAGTCAGTCGCAATGTGGCTGGTATTTAAAGACATGATGCGTGTATAGGCCTTTGTGCACCCTATTTCGTTAATTTTACATGTAGATCAAACGCAATTTATTAAGACCTTTTCTCAAATTGATATTCTTTAGACATATTCAAGTACCTTATTAGTATCCTGTATATATTTATCTCGATCCTGATACCTACGGAGTCTTGGAAGACAAACGTATTCTTAATTCTATAACATCCATTCCCCCAGGGTATGTGTGCGTGGAATGGGACTCATTGTTGTGAACCGGTTATGACGACTAATTCTTGGTTAATCTTTCTTCCGTCGAATATTCCCAGCTATATAGCACAAATAGCCATACCCACATAATTTAATACAATTCATGAATAATTTTTCTACTTAACTGGTTTATTCTAAATACTTGCTTTTATTGGATTTCTATATAACGTTGAAAATGAAATTTAATAGATTGATGAATCTGGCAAAGTATACCTCAATATACCAATATACCATAAATATAACTTCACCTCCCTTAAAATGCGTTCTTTTGGAACAGTCGAAACGAAACAAGAATTTTTAAACATTGATATGGTTTTTTCTTGCAAATTTAAAAAAATATATAATGAAAGATAAATAATAAAATTTTACATTATTATATTATAATTCAATAATTGGTAAAGAACAAAAAACCCCAAGAATGTACGCTCACACTGTCTTTTTACGTTTCGTTTATTTTTTAAGTATATATGTACATATATCACTCAGAATGGAAACTATTTAATTTTGCTTCATTTACTATAGCCAAGAAAAATGTTAAGAATATACTTAAATCAGGGTTTTTCCTGCTTATGTTACAGAACGAAATATTGTTAATATTCCTCTATGGACCCAGATCTTTGATACCATATCTACAAGCTACAAGACCCCCAAGAATTACGATTTGATAAGTTTTTATAACAATTTATTATAGATTTATTGATCAATAACATTGTTATCACAGCTGAAGACATGCTCTTGTAGTCGGCCTTAACAAAAAGTATCTCTGTATGAAAAGATGCAATAGTTGTTTTGTGTTTTGAAATATTGATGTTTAAGAAATATGGTTACAATACACAGACATCAATCATTATATACATATAAATAATAAAAAAGGCATCGTTGTATCCACTACAGAAATATTATTGTATTTTCTCGTAATATTAATAAAATCACAGTGAAATATTACTGCACGCTGTCGAATTAAAAATGTAGTTCTGTGCCTCCAAAATGTGCATTTCAGTTAAGCAAATTGCAACTAACAATATAATGTAACCGCTATAACGTATCGTTCTCAAAAAGTCCCACAGCTTGTCGCAAAAAATGCTGAGTAGCACGATGTGGAGCAATGAGTGTACATTAACAATGCGCCACATCCACGCCACACAAAAGAACCAATTGGACTTGAATACGTAGTTCTGGCAATGAAGGTACTGACTGCTGCTAACGTCTTCACGCTCCAACATGTTCTGGTAGACGGCTATATAGCGATTCCAAGCAGTCGAACTGAGCAAGAGTTGTCCCGTGAAGCTGATCACATTTTTGGCCACTTTTCGCGTGGTTGCCTTCATTTTTGGAATCATTGTCGGTTCAGGTGTTTTGGGGTCACTCATTGGTATGATCGAGTAGCCCCGTCGAGGCGGGTTGTTTTTCAGGTAAAAGAATATGCCCAGCAGTAGGGCAATGCAGCCGAGTCCATCGCAGAGGCCGTCCACATAGTAGCCCGACGTGCCAATTTCGGAGCGCTCCCCCCTAATATGCTTTCTCACTCGAGCCACATGTCCATCCAAATCATCCAGGAAGGTGCGTATCTGGAAGAGGAGCACGCCCAGCCGTCTGTATCCCAGGCTATCGGATGCCACCAGTTTTCCAGACAAACAAGCCACACCCACATGGAAAAATGATATCATATTGGGCGTGATGAACGTGGAACGGGAGAATCCAATGACATTGTCGAACATAGTGGCCAGTGGTGCAAACAGGTAGTGGTTCGTGTGGTCCAGCAATATAGCTTTGACAGTTACATGGCAGAGCGGATTAACATCACAAGATATCCATGTGTGATCTTCATAGGACGGCTCTTTCTCAGCGGTGGGAAGTTTCGTGCTGCTACTGTGGTCTGATGTTCCTGCTGGTGCAACAGGCGATGGTGCAGATATTGTCGAGGTGTTCGTATGGTAATTCCGTTCTATAACATAGTTATGAATCCGCAAATAAAGTTCCACATCCATAAAAATGTAGAATATTATCAACAGAAACAGTAGCGTTAATAGTATCTTGCTGACTTGTGAACTGGGCCCAATCATGGTGGTAATATTTTGAGGTAGCTTTCAATTCTAAATTCCTTTCGAGGTGCTTTCAGGATACAACTGTAACGAGACGAGAAAATTGATTATTAAGGGTTTATAAAGGTTAAATTGTTTAAATTAATGTTCTATACCGTCACACGCACACATGTACGCTTGTGTGCATGCATGACGACATAACAATTCCAGCGACTTTCATTCTATTCCTATTCCTATCTATTCTCGGTATTTACGGAAGCCATTAACATGTTGATGGCATGGCCTGAGTATTATGTGGACTTTTCACTGCTTATAACTATTGCCAGGCAAGTTAACGCTTTTAAAGATACAATAACAAAGATATGTACATGCATACATACTATGTGGTTTAATCAATCAAATAAATCACACACCCGCATGTATAGGCATGCTTGTGTTTGTATGTATGTATTGACGATAAGTAAGCATATGCTATGATGGTTTTAATAACCAATAAATAGGTGCTCAATCGGCTTTGCCTAGAAGGGGAATTGCAAGTGTACTTACCTTCATAGCTCAAAAATAAACTTCCTCTATCAAAACATCCTATCCTTGTTAAACTGCTGTCTTCGCCAAACCAATGTTCTATTTTGTTCCGTGAAACTTGTAGATTGACGTTTCGGAAATTCGTTATAGCGCAATAGTTTACATGCGGCAATTAGCAACAAGAACGTATATATATATAAATAAAAATAAAACCATATATTTTTATCAATTATTTTCTTGTTCCGAGCAGTGTGACCGCGGATTTATCGTTAAAATATACCGTCCGACCCTAAGAAATATATCAAAATATACCGTGTCATTTTCAAAATATACCGTAAATATAATGACGAATTCAAATTCTATTTTACAAATTCCTCGTTTTTGATCTTCCGTGGAATATTCTCAGCTAAATAAAACCCTGAGCCCTGCCCACCTAGTTTCATACGATTAATGAATAATTTTTCTACTTAACTGGCCTATTCTAAATACTTGCTTTTATTGGAGTTTACGTTAAAAAGGTTTCAACGAAATAGGTCAAAACAAAAAAAAAACGAAGTAGGATAATCGTTTATATTGCCCAATTTTTATATTCCGTTGAATAATGACGGCTAACTAGTTCTTAGTTCTGCCATCATTTTAGCCCATTAAGGAATACATTTTCTACAAGATTGGCTAGTTTTTAGTGCTTGATTTTATTGTTTTATTGATTAAAACAAGGTTTAAACGAAATAGCTCAACAAAAAAAAAACAGTCGCCTTGTTGCTGGTATTTGAAGACATCACGCGTGTATATGCCTTTGTATACCCTATTTCGTTAGTTTAATATGAAGATCCTGTTTTTCGAACTGTTTTTAAATAGTAATTAATAAAGAAATTTTAGACATATGATTATTATCTTGTATTTATATATATCCTTATACCTATTCTTGGTCTCTGTAGGATGACGATGAACTGCAAAATATCGTTGGAATAGGTTTAAAACAGAGACTACATTGTTTTCGCATTAATTGAAGCCTTATCTTAATGGGCTCATTGTCGTCAACTGGTTATTACCAATAAATGCTCGTTTTTTATGTAGCCATGCCCAAATAATTTTATCCGATTATTGAATCAATTTTCTATTTGACTGACCTCTTCTAAATACTTGCATTTATTGGATCTTGTCTAAAAAAGGTTTCTTGTAGCGAATTGCAATCGATTTCATAGAAGTTGGCTTTTTCTAAAACATTTAATTTAATTTTTTGATCGGCCGGGAAGTAGTTATAACGGTTATCTTATTGGGGGCCTTATTATTGGGGCCGAAACCAGAGCTCATGGATTTTCCTGTTCTGTTAGGCTTCCGCTTCGCTTCTTACCTATCCATGTTCGACACGCATCGAAAGGTACAAACAAAGAAAAAGGCACATATACTGTAAGGGGTATATATAGGGGTATATTAGATTTGTGGTAAAAGTGGATGTGTGTAACGTCCAGAAGGAATCGTTTCCGACCCCATAAAGTATATATATTCTTGATCATTATCAATAGCCGAGTCGATTGAGCCATGTCTGTCTGTCCGTCTGTCCGTCCCTATTAGCGCCTAATGCTCAAAGACTATAAGAGCTAGAGCAACGATGTTTTGGATCCAGACTTCTGTGATATGTCACTGCTACAAAAATATTTCAAAACTTCGCCCCGCCCTCTTCCGCCCCCACAAAGGACGAAAATCTGTGGCATCCACATTTTTAAAGATACGATAAAACCAAAAACGCAGAATCGTAAAGGATGACTATACATATGTTTTAGAGCGTAAAATCTCAACCAGATCGTATAATTATTATAGCCAGAATAAAGAAAACAATTTCATTCTTTCTCGCTCTGTCTCTCTCTAACACATAGGTTTCATGGTCGGTTTTGCCAATTGCAAAATATGAGTTCAAGGATCTCAGAACCCATAAGAGCTAGAGCAACCAAATTTGGTATCCACACTGCTGTGATATCGGACCTTGACCGTTTTGTGTCAAAATTTCGCCACACCCCCTTCCGCCCCCGCAAAGGACGAAAATCTGGGCCATCCACAAATCTCAGAGACTATTAACGCTAGAGTAACCAAATTTGGTATTTGCACTTCTGTTAGATCTCACTAAAAAACGTATATCTCAGAATTTCGCCCCACCCCCGTCTGCCCCCACAATGGACGAAAATCTGTTGCATCCACAATATTGCACATTCGAGAAAACTAAAAACGCAGAATTATAGATAATGATCATATCTATCCGGTTGCTGAATCTGGATCAGATCGGATATTTTTTATAGCCAAAAGGAACAAAACAATTTTCAGTGACTACGCAGCGCCCGACGTCACGCTCAGACTGATTTTCTGTCTCTCTCGCACGCACTCTTCGTCGTATCGCTTAAGATTAGCGGCATCTGCCGGAGGAGAGCCATATTGACTTAGTATCGGGTATAACTGTAGAGTTGCGGTGTCCGCAGCAACTCACAACGTTCCCCCTCGTTTTATTTTTTCGTTTGTGTTGAGTTTGAATGGTGTTATATAATTTTGGATGTTGTGCTTTACCAGAACACCAATCTAGGAATGCCTTATGTTTAGCGGTTCAGAGTAGATTCCCCCTCCGACTCTGTCGTCCAGCTTTGATCCATCTGTGAAGATGTTTATGGCCCCATCTGGGCCTGGGAGTCCCTCGAGCCATTCGTCTCTGTGAGGGATGATTGTGTCGAAGGGAGTGACTGTGTACTCTCTTGGAACTTGGTAGTCTGTTTTTGAGGGGACGGTACTGCTGTTATTTAATATGGCTGAGTGACCTATGCACTGTGTCACCCATTGATCTGAGTCTCTTAGACGTATTGCTGCTGCTTCTGCCCGTTCCTTTCCTGCGAGGTCAAGGCTCTGTAGGCACAGGATGGCATTTAGCGCATCATTAGGGGTGGTGCGAAGAGCTCCGCTGATACATAGGGCGGCAGTCTGCTGGACTTTGCCCAGTTGCTTGGTGATCGCCCTTTTTGATAGGGCCGGCCACACCGTAACTCCGTAGAGTAGTATTGGTCTAACTATAGCTTGATATATCCATTGGACTATGCTTGGGATCATACCCCATCTTAGCCCAATAGCTTTTTTGCATGTGTAGAGGGCAGTCATTGCCTTCTTCACTCTGTCTTTGACATTCAGGTTCCAGTTAAGCTTCTTGTCAATTACCAACCCTAAGTAACTGGCACTGTCGCTAAAGGAGAGCCTGCATCCTTGTAGTATTGAATGGTTGAGGGGCGGGACCTTGTATTTATTTGTAAATAGTACGAGTTCCGTTTTTGAGGGATTTACTCCCAGACCGCGCGATTCTGTCCAATCCGACAGTTGCGCTAGCTTTGCGGTCATTAAGTCGTACCAAAGACTATACAATACCAAGATGTTGCATGAGCGATTAAAAAGCTGTTCTATGGCGGGTCCTAACATTAGAACCCAAAAGGCACGAGGGAGCGCGCGGGGTTTCAATTCCCTTTTCGCCTGTACTTCGTCTCTACCGCGACCCCGCTGCCCATCGGTTTCGTCTGTTCTGGACTCTCGAGCCTCAGCACCGTCGAAGCGGTGGTCGCGGATCGCCGATGTCTTTGGAGCGGCACAGTGGGACCTTTGGACGTCTCAGCTTGCTAAATTAGTTAGTTAATATGAGTTCAATAAATATTTGCATTGAGTACTTACATATATATAAACTTTGAGTGCTTCTATCTCCTAAACTAAAACTATCTTGAAAATTTGATTGGAAAATTCTCTATTAGATGCGTACATTAAATTTATCGAAAGCACTAATACAATTTTTTTTACTATTTCGGCTGAGTCCCCACTGTGCCGCGCCAAAGACATCAGCGACCACGCTGCCCTACGGTTTCGGCACGCAGACGATTCATATTTTGTTTTTGTATTCTATCTCTCGAGACACACCGACTCGACGCTGACCGAGGCATTGACGAAGCCGAGTAGCAATTCGGAGGCGAAGGTAGCGTAAAAGAGAATTGAAGTAATAGCCCCGCGCGCACGTACCATGAAGCGTCAAACGAAAATTGACAAAGAATTTGTTCCTCATGCAACATCTTGCTATTGTATAGTCTTTGGTCGTACAGTGTTTGGGGGTATCTCCCCGAGAAGATAATCGCAACGTCGTCCGCATAGGACACGACTTTGCAGCCCCCCTTCTAGGTCACATAGAATCTTGTTGACTGCTATGTTCCACAGAAGAGGGGTCAGGACACCACCTTGCGGGGTGCCTCTGTTGACATACCTCGACTGGGCGGACGATCCCATCGATGATGTCACCGTCCTGTATGTGAGCAATTGATCAATGAGCATCACCTAGTGACGGTCCACCCCCAGGTCAGTCAGGGCTTCTGTAATGGCGCCCGGTACAACGCTGTTGAAAGCTCCCTCAATATCGAGAAAGGCTATGAGTGAGTACTCTTTGTGCTGCAGAGATTTCTCTACCGCTGAGATCACTTTATGAAGAGCCGTTTCCGTGGATTTTCCTTTCCGGTATGCATGCTGTGCGCCTGACAGCAACTGAGGGTGTATAGTTGTCCTCAGTTGCAGCCCGACGATTCTCTCAAAGGTTTTGAGGAGGAAGGACGATAGGCTGAGTGATCTAAAGTCTTTTGCAGTTGAGTGCGAGGCTTTTCCTGCTTTGGGAATGAAGACTTTCTTTGCCTTAAGCCATGTTCGCGGGATTGTACCCACAGCCAGTATCTTCCTGAAGATACCTTGTAGCCAGTTGATGGCCGTATCCCCGGCCTTCTGAAGTTGGGCCGGATTACCTGGTCTGGGCCTGGCGATTTGAACGGGTTGAAGCTGTTTATTGCCCAGCTTATGTTACGTTTTGTGAGGATGTGATCCATCGAGGTTACCGGTCCCTATCCTGGGAGATGTACCGTCTCGATGGTATTTTTTTAGTACATTTTTATAGTAAATTTAATCGCATTACAGAGCTTAAGGCCATTAAAAAGAATATTGTTTTATCAAAGATTGATAAAACAAGTATCGGTACAAAAAATATCGCATATCGGTCCATCCGTTTTTCTTGCACATGTACACACACACACATACAATCGATGAAGACGTGATGGGCGCACCATGCAAGTTAACGTACCCAATTCTATTGGGCTCTTATACGAGTTGTAAACAATCTTAGCTTTCTAAGACGAAAACAATTTCAATCTTGGGCCTTCGCCTAATTGATTTCTAAGATGTACAATCTCAATGGCTCCCGCCACAATTCCAATCTTTGACACTCGCCTAAATGGAAAAACAATGTTTGCCCACACCCGGCTTCTCATAAACAATCTCACACCCGGCTTTCTGCAGATCCTGCACTTTGGGCATTTTACAGTTCTCTCTTTGGATGACGAAATCCAATACTCGGGATGGCGAAATCAATTGAGATGCTTATAGAAAAACTATTCGCGAAAGGGATCGACGATCCAGAAGCGACACCGAAAGTCGAGCTAAAAAACTAAGATCGCGCAAACCCTTTTTTGTCCTTTGTCCGGAATCCTTTGTGACCCTCAACTTAAATCTATATCTGTAAACTTAGAAGTTAAATAAAAACTTTTTAAAAACGCAATCCGCTACCGCAGTTTTTTAATTTGCATGTTTAAGGGGGGCGGGCCACATTTTCCTATTGGGACTCGTCGGCTCATGCATGAAAGCGAATTAATAGAAATGATTGCATATATTTGTAATTCTGGGCAGCAGAAGTCGGGGTGGGTGGGCGTTTGGCGCGTGCTGCTGCGTTTTATCGTCGATCTCCTGCCCCTGCCCCCTGGAGTGTTTTATTACAACTCCCCCACCTCGATACAAAGCTGCAGATGAAAGAATTTTAGAATGGATCTCTCTGTTTCAGATTGTCTGCTCGGAGGATGAAGAGTTGGCGTGCACGGACTTCACCAACGACTTCTACAAGCTGGTCAACATTAGCTCCAATTCGTCGCGCAGCCTCTACTCCTACCTCGAGGGAGAGACGGACGGCGAGGACGAGGATGACGATGACGAGGCAGATTCGAGCATGTCCGAGAGCCAAGCGGCACACACGTCCCGGGCCGCCACCAGTCCCACGCCCAGCGAGGCGGGACGGGCTCAGCGGATGAGCTGCTCCTCCAGCGAAACGGACGAAAACTCGATCAGCCACCCGCCGCCGCCGACGGAGTCGCATCAGGAGAAGGAAGAAGAGCCTGACTATGCGGTCATTGACGAGTGCCGGCGCCGCGTTGGTGACATCGAGATCAAGGACGTGCCGCTGATCATGAGCGCCACGCCTTTGCAGCCCCTCAATGAGCAGCAATGCATAGCACAGATCATCAAGAGCGAGCTGCGATGCCCGTCCCATGTGCTGGTAAAGTCCAAGTCTGTGCTGGAAGAGCAGGAGCCCAGCTGCATCCTACGCCACAATCAGCGTCGCGAGCTCGAATTCACTCTTGTGCGCAGCGACAGCATCAGCTGTGCCCTTATGGCGAAAATTGCCAAGGAGGCAGCGCCCTCGTCACTGGCGATCGTGTTCAAGCTGAAGGACCGAATTCGGAACCGCAAATTTTAGGCGCCGGCTACATCGAGTCAGTGGCGCCGAATCAATGGCTGGAACCGGGTGACGACCCCGGTGCAGATACCAGCGGCTGCATCACCAAAGAAGGTGAGTACATCTATAGATCCCATAATGTGTATACGTATCCTAATCTGCGACGTATTTCCAGAAGCAAGCTAAGTCAACGGAGCTGCCTGCCCATGGCAGTGCCCACCAGAATTCCAACGAGCATCAATTCATCGACGTCCTCCACCTCGTCGGTGTGGTCATCCTCGCTCTCGCCTTTGTCTTCGTCTCCTTCGCCACAGTCGCCCCAACAACAACAAAAGCAGCAGCAGCCAAGACCCTCAGGACAGCAGCAGCGTAAATCGAAAATTCCTCCATCAGTTCCTGTGCAGCGATCCTATGCGAGCTAAGTGGCGGAGTGACGTCGCCGTTAAATCTCAAATGAATAATCGTCAAGCAAAGAAATATTCATAGATTAAAAAGACTATATTGTGATATATTCGAACAAACAAACAAAAAACGAGGGGGAACGTTGTGAGTTGCTGCGGACACCGCAACTCTACATTTATACCCGATACTAAGTCAGTATGGCTCTCCTCCGGCAGACGCCGCTAATATTAAGCGACAACACAAAGAGTGCGTGCGAAAGAGACAGAAAATCAGTCTGAGCGTGACGTCGGGCGCTGCGTAGCCACTGCAAATTGATTTCTTGCTTTTGGTTACAAAAATTATCCGAACTGATCCAGATTCAGCAACCGGATATGGTCATTCTCTATGATTGTGCGTTTTTAGTTTTCTCGAATGTGCAATATTGTGGATGCAACAGATTTTCGTCCTCTGTGTGGGCGGAAGGGGGTGGGGGGAAATTTTGAGATAAACGATTTATAGTGAGATCTAACAGGAGTGCGGATACCAAATTTGGTTACACTAGCGTTAATAGTCTCTGAGATTTGTGAATATCCCCAGATTTTCGTCCTTTGCGGGGGCGCAAGGGGGTGTGGCGAAATTTTGAAACAAACTCGTCGCGGTCCGATATATTAGGAGTGTGGATACCAAATTCGGTTGCTCTAGCTTTTATAGTCTCTGAGATCTAGGCGCTAATGTTTTACTCTAAGCAAAGCTGGCTATGCTACGTGTGTGTTAGAGAGAGATAGGGCGAGAAAAATGAAACTGTTTTCTTGATGCTGTCTATAATAATAATACGATCTGATTCTGCAGTCTAAAAGATATGGTCATTCTCTACGATTCTGCGTTTTTGCTTTTCTCGTATCTTTAAAATTGGGGATGCCACAGATTTTCATCCTTTGTGGGGGCGGAAGTGGGCTGGGCGAAGCTTTGAAATATTCTTCTAGCAGTGACATATCACAGAAGTCTGGATCCAAAACATCGTTGCTCTAGCTCTTATAGTCTTTGAGCACTAGGCGCTAATAGGGACGGACAGACGGACAGACGGACGGACGGACAGACGGACAGACGGACAGACAGACATGGCTCAATCGACTCGGCTATTGATGCTGATCAAGAATATATATACTTTATGGGGTCGGAAACGATTCCTTCTGGACGTTACACACATCCACTTTTACCACAAATCTAATATACCCCAATACTCATTTTGAGTATCGGGTATAAAAAATCGAAATTTTATAAAAATACTCAAAATAATTGTGCAAAGTTTCAAGGCTCTAGTTTAAAAACTAGACTTTATGCAAAAAAAAAACGACTTCTGGACCATAGTGGACCATAGGACCATAGACTTCTCTCCTATAGGAGAGGGATCGTAGTACCCTGCCTGGCTAGCTCGTCGGCGGCGTCGTTCCCCTCGATGTCCCTGTGGCCGGGGATCCATAGTAGGAAGAGATCTAACTGCTCTGCGATCTCGTGCAGAGACCTGCGGCAGTCATTTACAGTCGCTGAGTTCGACGATATTATGCCTAGAGCTTTAATAGCCGCTTGGCTGTCCGAGAAGACGCACACTAAGTGCGTGTCTAGACGTAGTTTCGAGACGATAGAAATGGCCTCCTTGATGGCTTCAATCTCCGCTTGGAACACACTACAGTGGTCCGGGAGCCTGAAGCAATGACTGATGTTCAGCTCGCTGCAGTAGACTCCGCCTCCCACGCGGCCGTTTAGCTTTGAGCCATCAGTGTAGAAGTGAACCACACTTGCAGGTCCTGGTTCGCCCATCTCCCTGTCCTCCCTAAGTGGGATTGATACCGGGAAGGGCGTCGAGAGGTGATCACTAGGAATACAGTAATCTGTCCTCTCTGGTAATTGCGGGAGTCTCATTAGGAGTCCCGAGTGCCCAACCACCCGTGGGAGAAGATTCCCTCGTAAATTATTCTGAGCCAGTTAATGGCTTTAAGTCCCGCGTGAATCAGTTGGGCAGGGAAAATGCCGTCTGGGCCCGCGAACTTGTAAGGTTTAAAACTTCTGATCGCCCAGGAGATTTTCTCCTGGCTTAGCAGGCTCAGGAGAGCATTTGAGACGACAGAAGGAGGCGCGAAGTAGTTGGGTCTGTTTTCATCGCAGCCAGGGAAGTGAGTATTTAGGAGAAGATTTAGCGATTCATTGCTGGACGTAGTCCACGACTGGTCGGCGTTCTTCAAGTAGCCCCGGGTGGGTGTTGTCTTCGAGAGAACTCTGCGCAAGCGCGAGGCTTCTGAGTTACTCTCGATTTCGCTGCAGAACTTACGCCAGGAGGCGCGTTTGGCATTTCTAAGTTCCTTGTTGTAGGTTGACAGACTGGCCTTGTATTCGGCCCAGTTTTGCTCAACGTTCTCAGCCTTAGCTTTATTGAGGCTTTCCGGAGTTCATCCAGTTTCGGATTCCACCATTCAGGTTTCCTCCGGCCTCTGTTCTTGCCAGAGGAGCATGCTTTGTCGAGCGCCTTATTGCAGGCGTCGGTAAACATCTTAAGTAGGCGGGTCGTGGCCTCCGTGGAGAACTCCTCCTCAGATGGGGGCTCGGGGAGAATACGACAGAGGTAATTAGAGTACCGAGTCCAGTTTGTCCGCCTGATGTTCCGGAAACGAACTGGCTTCGGTACTGAGAAGGAGAAAACAGTTTCCACGTACCTGTGGTCCGAGAAGGAGTGCTCTTCCAGGACCCTCCAGGATATAATGTTACTCTGTATCTCGTGAGAGGCAAGCGTCAGGTCCAGGACCTCCTTGCTGTTTTTAATAATAAAGGTGGGATCACTACCCCGGTTTAATAAGCCCATCTGAGTGGTCAGTAAGTAACTGAAAAGGTACTCACCCCTTTCGTTTGTGTCAGTGCTTCCCCACTGACAGTAATGTGCTTTGGCGTCGCACCCCACAATTAGGCCGATGTCTTTGGCCGAAGATTCTGCGATTAGAGCCCGGAGAGTCGCGTATGGAGGGGGGTCTGGTTGATCATGCCCCATGTATGCGGAGCAGATCCTCAGTGAGCGCTTCTGGCCTTCGAGGCTCACTGCGGTGTGGTCTTCATTGCTGAAATTTGGGAGCAAAAATAATTGCAACTCTCTTTTTGCATGAATGCAGGTACGAATTTTACCTGGGATTTCAGCTACGCATAGCTTGTAGTCAGAAGTCCTCAGACCGGAGACCCTGTTTCCGAGGATCCAGGGCTCCTGAATGAAGACTATGTCGGCTCCACCCTTGGCCAGGTGGAGCAGTAGAGCAGCGCATGCTGCCTTACAATGGTGGAGGTTTATCTGCAGGATCGTCAGTGACATTCCTGAGTCTCACCTCCACCATTGTTGCTTCTAGATCGCTGTCGGGGGAATCCGGCTCCTCGCCGACAACGATATGGCTGAGACCTCTGGCTAGGTCGCTCTCGTCGAACGCTCAGTCGTCCAGGATGTCCTCCGACATCATGGACGCCGCATCCGACGCCGGGTTGTCTTCCTCGCGAGAGGCCCCCTCTTTCGGGATCTTCGGCAGCTCCGGGTCTGGCTCGACCTCCGCTTGCCTGCCCTTGCGATCCGACTTATAGGTGGTTATGGTGACCTTTTTGTACCCGTAGTCGACCACACCGTCCGTTTTGGCGAGGGGCTCTAGCGACTCCTCATTTAGGACGAGGATAATCTGGCGCCTTTGCCCCTGGATGTCCTCTACCTTGGCCACCTTCCAATCGGCTGTGGGAAGGTGGGGGTTGCAGACTTGCAGTAGCCTGAGGATTTTCTCAGGTTCTGCAGGTTTTGCCGAGACCCATGCTCTGGCTCTCGGGCGGCTGGGAACATCCTCCCATCTCACGGCCTCCAGTTTCGCCCCTGGGTAGACCTCTTTCAGAGCAGCCACCGCCTTCATGTAGAGGGCCGGCTTTGGCTGGCTGGAAGAATGGCAGGATTGAGGAGGCCCACAGCCTCTGCTCCTTTCCTTCTGCCGACGCCCTAAAGTTCGGGTCCTCGTTGGACAGGATGAAAGCCGCTCGTCTCCTGTCCTGGTACGACGGCTTTCCTCCCCGTGGTGCAGAGACGCTGCTCGCCGGTGCCCCCATGGGCTCCTCGGTCCTGGTGCGCTTACCAGCCGCGATTTCGCTCTGCTTGGCAGCCGATTCGCCCTTGGAGCCACCCGACTTGGAAAGACCCGATTGGCTTTTCGGGCCCCCCCTCGCTGCGTCCGCTGCCTTAAGACGGTGGACCGACTCAGTCTCCTTCCCCGTCTTCTTTGGATCTGGTTTCCCAGGCGCTGGTACAGAGGGATTGGCTTGTCCCTCCGGTACTTTAAGAGGAGTACCGGCATGATTTGTTTGGCATTTTTGTTCCCACGAGTAGGCGGGAAGGGGTTGGTCACCCGATGCATAGCCCGCTTGCCCCGGGAAGCCTGATTTAAACTGGAGGTCTGCAGGTATCCAGAGTCCGCATATTAGTGACCGGGCACCGCCCAGCCATGCATCCCTAAGCATATAACAGTGTCACCTTGGATTGGGGTAATTTCACCTAGAGTTTTCTTCTCTCCGCCCGACTACCATTCGCCAGCATCCAGAGACATGACCGTGCCAGGACCTGTATCCAGCCGCCCTCACGGGGAGAGTGTAGTCGCACTTCCACCGGTGTGTACAGTTACGGCGGGTGACGGTTCGCTCGCAACCCTCTGTGTCCTAGGGGGTGTGGGACGCAGGCCGCACAGGGTATTACTAACCGGAGCGGCTGCGCCTCAGTTCCGAGCTCACAGTTGTACGAGCCGACCCGTCATCCGTTTGTCCCCCTGTAGCACCCGATGGCTATCAGCTGATAAGAGCCAGCGCAGGCCGGCCGGCAAAATTACTCAGTTCTGGAGCCCCCTGTCATGTTGAATGTTTTGTGGCGTATTAGGGGGCGACACTGTTATGTTTGTTGACTGTTGTGGATAACAAAACTTGCACATATGTACATAGGTCAAAAGTTCCGTTTTGAACTGCTTTCTGTTAAATGCTAACTATATTT